GGAGAGAGAGAGAGAGAAAGAGAGAGAGAGAGAGAGAGAGAGAGAGAGAGAGAGAGAGAGAGTTGTGTTGATGCAGCGGTCATTCCGCTGTTTCATTACGGCTACATAGTTTGCATCCCGCAATTCATTATGGTTGCCAGGGAAAGATTGCTTGTTCACGCATCGGCTGCTTGTGAAGCTCTCTTGTCGGTAACGTAATGAACTGCAGGGCGGATGGACGATTTTGACAGCGCAAGAAGATGTGAGTTGCATGAAGTTGCGGGTTCAAATCCCGTTTTTCCCGGGAGGTATGGCTCAGTGGCTGAAGGCATTTGTTTGCTTAATCAACATACAAGAGATTGTATGATGGGTTCAAAGTGAATTTGGTAACGGCAGTGTACTGAGGCGATTTGGGGGCCATGTTGACGCTGGTGGGTAGCAGAGTATGATGGGTTCAAAGTGAATTTGGTAACGGCTGCTTGCTTCGTCGCTCCCCCGGTTCCTCAATCGTCCGCACTTCTCGTACCAACCTCCTGGGTCGGCCTTTTGAGTACGACAGTCATATATATAAAAGTGTAGGGGAGAGAGGGAGGGAGGGAGGGGAAACAGAGGCTGGGGGAGATAAGAGGAGGGAGAGAGGAAAAAGGGTGGGAGACGGAGGGGAGGAGGAAGGAGGGAAGACGAGTGAGCGAGGAGAACGGAAGAGAAGGGGGAAAAGGGTGGGAAAGGGACGGACGTGGTTGGGGGGAGAGAGAGAGAGAGAGAGAGAGAGAGAGAGAGAGAGAGAGAGAGAGAGAGAGAGAGAGAGAGAGAGAGAGAGAGAGCGGAGGCTAGAGGAGGGAAAGGTGGAAGGCGAGGGAGCGAGCGAAGAGAAAGAAAGGGAGAGAAGGGGGCAATAGGGTCGGGGAAAAGAAAAGGTTCATTGAGGTTCTGAGGGGGATGCTGTCTATATCGATCTGCCTGTTTTCGTGGTGATTGGTACCGGGCATAAAGAATGGCGTTGTTGCGCCTCCTGCGCCTTCGCCGTTGGTGGAGACATGGCAAAAACGTCCTCTTGCGCGCGTCCTCTTCGATTGGAGTCGGCAGCAAGCGCTTCGAGAAGGATACCCGCGTTGTATTTTGCAATGAACCCGATAGCACTCATTTCATAGGGAACAAGATCCGGACTACCAAGTACACTTTGTTGTCCTTTTTACCGAAAGCTCTTTACGAGCAATTCCGACGCGTTGCCAATCTGTACTTCGCATTCCATGCCGCTCTCTCTCTCACACCGCTGAGCCCTGTCAACCCCATCACTACAATCACTCCGTTGCTCTTCGTGATTGGCATTGCGATGGTGAAAGAGGCCATAGAGGATGTGAAGCGGGGGACGGCAGACACGGAGTTAAACCGAAGAAAGGTGCAAATCCACACGGGGGGGGGTGTGTTTCAAGATCGTAGCTGGTCTGACGTTCGAGTGGGGGATATTTTGAAGGTGGTTAGCGATGAGGTGTTTCCGGCGGATTTGCTGCTGCTTTCATCCTCCGACCCCGATGGGAATTGTTATGTAGAGACGATGAATCTGGACGGAGAAACGAACTTAAAGCTGAGGAAATCACTGGACGAAACGAAGATGCTGACCGAGTTCGCCTTCTCGACTTTCAAAGCCAGACTGGAGTGTGAAAAGCCCAATGAGCAGCTGTACAGTTTCGTAGGGAATTTGACTGTGGGAGAAGGGGACTCGATGACCTCGATTCACCTCTCTCCTCAGCAAATACTTCTCAGAGGCTCCACTCTGAGAAACACGAGTTTTGCGTTGGGCGTGGTCATCTTCACCGGATTCGAAACGAAGATCATGTTAAATGCAACGGACCCTCCCTCCAAGAGGAGTCGTATTGAGAAGAGACTCGACTGGATTGTTTTGTGCCAGTTGATCTTGCTGGCAGCTATGTCGCTTTGTACGGCGATTGTCTTTGCGGCGAGGACGGGCAAGGAAATGAAGGACTTCTGGTATCTAGCACCAGGGCAGACGTCAGGGACTGACAACATCTCGAGGAACATGTTCAATGCAGATGCACCAGTTCTCGCGGCGGTGTTCTCTTTCTTCACGAGTTTCGTTCTGTATGGTAAGTGTTTTTATCTGACGACGTAAAATTTGAGGAATCTGAGGAATTTGAATGATTCATTCGTCCAACAGAAAGGAAGGAAGGAAAACGAAGGTATAAAGGATCCGATCACACCGACTACCTCTAGCCCAAACCCATGAAGCAGACAACTTTTATCACCTCTCCTTCCCACGTTCCCACATTGTCCATCTCTCTCTCTCTCTCTCTCTCATTCCCCCTCGCGCATTTTCTCTCTCCCTTCCTCCCTTCCTCTCTCCCTCTCTCTCGTTCACTTCGTTTCTTTATCTGTTACTCTTGTCAAAGTAACTCCCTGCCCCTCTCTCTGTTACTTTCTGTCCCACACGCACGGCGGTGGCTGACTCGCTCAGTGCGGCTCCCGCACACGCGCATTTCGGTCGCTCTTACTCACGATCTCTCTCTAAGTCCTTAGTTTCTTATTTTTTCACTCAGCACTCTCTCTCTCTCTCTCTCTCTCTCTCTTTCTCTCTCTCTCTCCGTGCCCTTCTGACTCTCGTGCATTTGAGTCTTTTTTTTTCTAGCATCGCTCTCTCTAGCTCACTCACGTTTCCAATCTCAGTCTCCGCTCTCTAGCATCGCTTTTATCACGCTGAAAATCTTCTGACCTATCCTACACACATTCTTTATGGCGGAGCCTTTTGTTTTTGTGTATCTTCCTCTCTCTCTCTCTCCTTGTCTTTCTGTTGGGCTCTTTCTCTCCCCTGCCTCTCCCCGCCTTCCCCCCTTCCCTGGCTTCAGACTGCAGTAAGAAGCAGCTTATCTTCCAATAGATCCATCTCTCTCTCTCTCTCTCTCTCTCTCTCTCTCTGTGTCTGCGTTACTATCTCTGTCTCTGCGCTCCCGCACTTTTTATGTCTACCAATTGCTGTTGATCACTGATCCTGATTGTTCCTCTAGCCACCTTGGTGGTGGTTGTCCCCATTCTTTCACTTCCCGTCTACCATTGGTTCTTGTATGCTTGGCCTCCTTGCCTTCTCTTTGTTTCTACTCTAAGGCTTGATCCCTGCGTTTTCTGCCCTTGCTCGTCTCTCTCTATGTTGTATATATATGCATGTATTCTTTTTTTTCGCTTTTGCGCTCTCATATTCGTGTGATGATATATGCATATATTTGTATATAATATGGTCATACGATCTGCCCTGTGAACCGTAGGCAGAGAGGGAGAAGAGGACAGCAAGCGAGCGGTTGTGATAGACTGTCCGACTCACATGCGTCTATCTATAGAAGTATCTATAGGGGATGTGATACCCTTTGCCACATCGGTCACTATTTCTTCCCGAGGGTTGTTCTCCGTTCACCCATGTCCAAACCCGCCTCTTTTCTGACCTTATGGCATCCACCATCTCCTCTTTCTTTCCCCTTCTTACTCTGCCGTTCAGCTCATCTTGCCTTGGCTCCTAATGCCCCTGTGTGGGTCTTTTTGCTTGTTTTCGTTCTGGCACTGGGCCAGCTCTGCTCAAAGAGTCTTGCCAGTCGTTGAACCCTTCTCTCCTTCTCTCCTTCTCTCCTTCTCGGTGTTCGTCTTTGAGAGCAATTTCATCAACGGGCAGTCCTTTTTCCTTTTTCCCCTTTCTCTACCTTTTTATATCCCTTACTACCGGTAGGACTCGTAAACTTATTTTAATAATTTCATCGACACAGCCATTTTCTGTCTCCTTCGCCTCTTTTTCATCACTTGTTTGGGGTTGCTTTTTTTTTTTTTTTTTTTTTTTTTTTTTTTTTTTTTTTTTTTTTTTTTTTTGTTCTCTCTCACACCTATGTCTCCCTTCTCTTCCGTGGCCTCCTTTTCGGCCTCCTGTTCCATTTTCCACCGACCCAAAAAACTCGCTCTCCTGCGTGCCAGATTGCTTCTCCCACGCTTCCTCTCTACTTCTCTCTCCCTCCCTCTCCGTCTTCCCTGTGTCTCCGCTCTCGCTCACTTTCTTCCCCTTTTACTCTCTCTTCCCCTTCCGTTCTTCTTCCCTGTGTCTCCGCTCTCGCTCACTCTCTTCCCCTTTTACTCTTTCTTCCCCTTGCGTTCTCTCTTCAACCTTCACTATCTCTTCCCCTGATGCGATTTTTTCATCTCAACCTCTGTCTCTCCCTATCCCCTCCCTCGTGCTCAGGTCATCCGTCGTCTTTACCGAAAGGCGGGATTCGCTGCTTCACATGTGCGTGCGTGTGTTTTGTTTACCTCCCTCCCCCACCTGCTCTTTTTTTCCATAGTCTGCCCATTTGTTCACCCTCAGGCTTTCCTTTCCTTTCATAAACGAAAAACCCACACAAAGAGGAGACCGGATGGTTAATTCTTTTTCTTGTTTTAACGCTTTTTTCTCATTACTTAATCTTACGATACAGCTTTCTGCTTTTTTTTTCCACCTCTGAAGTGTTACTTGACGGTCAACTAGACTAACTAATGCAAAGCAGCTAATCAAGCTCTGCTGTCTTTCTTCTCTCTCACTCTCTCTCTCTCTCTCTCTGTGTCCCCCCTTCCCCCCCCCGGAAAAAAAAACCGGTTTCCTCTTTTTTTTTTTTTTTTTTTTACTCCCGTTTTTTTAAATCACGATTCTGTTTTTCTAAAACCCTATTCCAGCATTTTCCTCCTTCATCCTCCTCCGCCCTGCTTTCCCTCTAATGCGCACCGCACACCTCCCTCCCAGACTGCCCTTTCTCAAACTTCCCCTCTATTCTTGAATGGGTCCTCTGTCGCTCTTCCTTTCTGGTTGTTACGGTGCTTTTCTCCGCTTGTCGATGATATCCGCTCTTGCCCTTCTCTCTCTCTCTCTCTCTCTCTTTCTCTGTCTCTCGATCGATCGATCGTACTAACCCCGTCCTTTCTTGTCTCTCTCGTGATGCAGTGAAGGTATTCCCAATTCTCGTTTCCGCTCTCCCCTCTCCCGCTTTTTCTTCCCCCCTTCTCCTACGTGCTAAGGTTTCGATCTCGGGTTTTGCTGCTTTGCTACATCTTACTGTTTTGTCCTCCGGCGTCTGTCCATCTCTTTTCTTTACCCTGGCCTTTCATCAATTTCTTTACCCTGGCCTATTCGGGTTTTGCTCCCTTGCTATTTGCTCCTTTCTCCGCTTTGCTACCCTCCGCTGACATCCAGCGGCAACTTCGTTAACCCTGGCCTTCCTTCTCCCCTTTAACGTTTAGCACACATGATTACTTACTCCGTCTGGCTTTGGGCGCCTTTCTCGGATGTCTGTATTTTGTGTCCCCCTTGAGTTTCCTTGCATTCAGCCTTGCTAACACCACCGCCCTCCCCGCCCACTCCAAAACCAAATGCGCCTTTGTCATTCTGCCCTACCCTTGGTTTTAGGCCTGTTATAAATGAACCCCCGGCGTCCCCCTGTCCCTCCTTCCCCCCCGGCCCACCCAGCGCCCGACAGAATAAAGAAGCACTGTTTCCAGTGTCCCCTGTTCATGCTATTTGTTTCTGCTTGTGTCCCAGTTTGGGGTTCCAGACGTCTTTTGTCGTCACGGTTTCCTGTTGTAAGCTTTCGCGTGTCAAACGTCTGTTTTTTTCCCTTTTTCCCTTTTTTTTTCTTTTCTATGGTGTTTATGATGTGCACCTCAGACCGAAAGTCATTCGGCATATCCGTCAAAATTGGAACGATACAGAGAAGAGTAGCATGGACCCCTGCGCAAGGATGACACGCATAAGTCGAGAAATGGTCCAGAAAAATAAAAATAAAAATCGTTCACGAGAGGAATGACTGACTTACTTGATCCTTCATGCGGTCTTATATATACAGCCCAACCCGACTGCGGGCCTCTGCTGGTTTCCTGTCTCTGACGCCATCACCCTTTCTCTCCTTTTAGCCGCGTTCTTCTTGTTGCCAATCATCTGTTCAGTCTCCTACTCTCCCTTCTCTTCACGTTCCGTCTATCTTTCACCTTGTTGTGACTAATACGTATCTTATCGTGTTCCTTGCTGTCTGGTGCTTAATCTCTCCTTGTTGTTCGCTGCTTGTACATTGTGTGTTTGAAGTTGAAAAAGCGGTTCTCTTTTTCATCTTTTTTTATTTCAGTTGTTTCTTTTCGTAGGTATTCCCAAGGTTTCTCTTCTTTTCGTGGATGACCATGCATGGGGATTGCTCACTGTGTGGGATTGTTGTGTTCACGCTGTCTCTTATACACATCTAGATGTGTATAAGAGACAGGTCTGAGTCCCTCCAAAGGGAAAACAACTGGCTTCACTTCAACACCTGAATTCACTACTCGGCTCGGTCTTCTAACTAATCTTAATAGCACTCATTCTGCTAATTTAATCCCAACCACTCGTCAGCTGCATGACTTCACTGTTCCTAATCTTACCCTACTATGTATGACTGTTAAACTACTACCCTAGCCAATCCTAAGCTATTCTAGTCCTAACTATACTCAGACCTACTTCGGTCTGGACCTCAGCCTCCAGTCGGCGGAGAGGAAACGCCGTTCCCTTTTGAAAACTTGACACTCTCCATCCCCCCTCATCTATCTCTGGTCCCATGCTAGTAATCTTGTATCGTCTCAAAGGGCTCAAAATTGATTACGTATACGCTTTCTTCACACATTTCGGACGATTTGCACAAAACAAGCGACAAGCATTGACGAGCATATATATCGTCACAAACAGAACTGCCCGGTAAACCGTAGGCACAAAGAGAGAAGAGGACAACAAACGAGGGGCTGTGACAAACTGTTTCGTCGGAGCATATATATATATTTCTTGCAGGATTTTTTTTTTCCTTCCGGGATGAAGAGCAGATTTTGCGCGCAGTGTCGTTTCTTGATTTTTATGCATGTCACCCTTGCGCACGGGCCATTGCTGATCTTCTCTGTTGGTACACCCCTGGACTGTCAAATGATGCCGTGGCCCTTCGTATATCTGTATATTTTTTGAATCCTTCTCTGTATAGTTCCAATGGTCGGCCCTACGATAGGTAATTCAGAATAGTATTTCACTCATCTGCAGCGTTGGGGTTCGAACTCTGGCCTACATATCAACAGTTCAGGGGTG